CACCACTTCGAGGTGGTACATTGTGAACACATGCACTTCGGTGGCACAGGTTCCGAACAAAGCAAGGGGCGTCCCAACGCACCAATTAGGACGGGGCTCCTCATGGCACACCACTGCAGGAGCCCGCAGCGTGCTATACGCTAGTGGGGTTGTGGAGTAGTCCGATCAAGTAGCTATTTTGGTAGGCCCATGGAAATCTATTCCTCGGAAGCCTTCGGGGAGCTACTCCATCATCTGTCAACAAAAGCTGCTGCTCAGCACAGGGTAGGCTTTGACAGTGGCCTGCCCGAGGGTGTTCACCCGTGTGCACAATGACAAACGCAAGCCTAGACGGAACCCGCTGACATCAAGGCTGTTTCGGCCTGCATTGATGATCGCACCTTTGCGGGCAGAGCTACCAACGAAGTCGAAACGTCGCAACTGTAGGATGAAAAGAGTTGAGTTGGTGGGTGCTGTGAGCGCATGCTGGGTCGGTTGTTCATGCCATGCCGTCACAATCTGCTGCAACGTGGAGCCCACGACCGCCATGGCCACCGGCTGCCATAAGTACACGTGATCCCGCACCTCCACAGCTTCATCCCGCCTGCGGCGGGCTTCCCCTGTTCCTGCCAGGATGTCAGGTTCGGCTTGCTGCATCAAGTACGCTCACTTTCTGGGGCATCGTTTTGCCTGTACAACTCTGGCCATCCCGGCAGATGCGAGATCCAGGGCAGAAGACCTGGGACACAGGCAGGCTTACGGGGGCTACTTTGAACTAGAGCTTGGCAGGGCCACGGCCATTGCACCAAAGACAGCGCTCTGCTGACCAAGTGCCTGGGATATCCAGAGCCAGGCGAGCAGGCACGAGTTCAAGTAACACAGGTTATTGGGGTTGCTCAGGCACCACGACGTTGGCTGCTGAGGCATTGGCCTTAGCTGCTCGGCTCTGGGACGGTCTTCTTCTCCTTCGCCGCTGCCTGCTGCCTCGCCACCGGCGTGGATGAGGCCGCTTGCGACTTGTACGGATTGGTGCAGTCCAGGAGATTGGCCGCCACGTGTGACAACTGGATGGCCAGTGGTTGGCACTTCATCCTTTCCACTCATCATCATCTTCTTCTTCCCGCGCGGCAGAAGGAGTTCTGTCCTGCGACGCCGCTACAGCTCTCCCTTGAGAGTCGGCCGTTACAAGACGGCGGGCACGTGTGCCTCGTATGGGCTCAGTGATTATCAAGAGGTCACACCGAAGTGTCGTTTAAACAAATTTCCACCATGATGCTTTGCATCCCGGATGTCTTCAGCTTGGAAAGCCTCCACTGCATTCGAGTGTGCGCCTGCTGTACCGACTCGACCCGCTCGGCCAGAGCTGAGAGCTGGGTTCGAATCAAGAAGAGCTGGCTCGAAATCCAATCGAGATCCTCTTCCCGGAGAGTGCGCGGCTGACGAGGCACATCCATGTGATGAGCAGGCACTATCGGATATGCAGGATGGCAAAATCGAGTTAGAGTGAGCTGCAACGTTTTGCACAAGTAGCAGGAGATACATGTTGACACTCAGATGGTTCAACTCAGAGTCCGAAATCAATCTCGGCTCTTTTTCGTCATCCAGCAGCCAGTATTGCTGGCCAGAGGTACTGGTCACCGTCGTGTAGTGACCTGATGTCGGGGCGTTCCATGATGCTGGATGCGGCAACAACCCGGTACTGAACCCATTGGATGTCAAGTGAACCGGGATGGCAAAAGCGTGGCAGATGTAACACACTCGGTAGAGTGTAAGCTTGCGACTGTTCACTGGCCATCCCGGAGCACGATAAAGAAACCTAGGGATCTGTGTGAAAAGCCAAGGAGGCAGGTCAGTGAAGGCATGCAGGGCATTTTGAGCATGCCACCTTGGCACCAGTTCTTCAGTCGGGTCAAGAGCGAGCTGAAGACAACGCGAGGCAAGGAACCGGTGCATTACGATGAACGCCGGTGTCGGTTTGCTGCCTTGTCTCCCAGCAGCCTGGGTAGGCAGAGGACGTGAGCCGAGGCTGCGTGAAGTCGGCACTGCAGTCTAATGCATGGATATGCATGGCAGGTTCGGGGGTTGTGGCTGAAGCATCCGTAAGGACATCTGATGACAGCAGACCTGAGGCGTACCTTTCGGTGAGGTGATGGGAGCCGTTCAGTAGCTTCTGAAGGCCCTGGTACCCTGGCTGTGCAGGTTCTTAGCCGGTGTTGCATGTTGCGTTGATGCCTACGTCTGTACGTAACAACAGTGCCTAGGTATTCATGCTGGTCCTTAAAAAAAGACCACAATCTCTGCCATGCCACCTTGAGGCGACGGCATAATTGGCCCGCCTTCATGAAGGTGTGCTCGCGCTTCAGCTTGTTGGCGTCCTTGCCAGCCAGTTTAATTATTAAGCAGAATGACCGTCTTGCTGTAGTTGATGGTCCTCTCAAGAGTTTGTAAGGTTTCCAGCACAAGCGACACATCCCCCACAGCGCTTGCAAGTCAGCAGCACTCGTAATTTCCCAGGAACCCCAGACATCATCAGCAAACAAAGAAAGAACCCTTTGGATCCATTCAATGCTGCGCTGTTGCTGAAGCAGAAGCAGAAAAGTCAGGGAAAAGTAATTCCGTAGGTAGGGAGCTATGACGCAGCCTCGTTTGATTCCGTTGGTGGTGGTAGTGGAGCCTCGATGGGGCCCAAAGTGATATACGTACTGCGCATTGCTATGCAGCTGCTGCACCGCAGAGTGATAACTTCTGGGGGGACGCCCTGAGCAGACATTGATGCATAGATGTGGGCACGGGTGACTCCATCAAAGGCCTTCGAAAGATCTAGGGAGAGGCAGATGCCTCCTGTGCAGAGCCAGTGTTTACGTCCTGCCTGCTGCTGAAACCGCGTGCATTGCGTATCCCGCAGGAGTCGCGCAAACTCTTCAAAGTGCGCGTGAGCACGGGTGAGGACATCAGTGGTTCCGCGATGTTTGGCGTACGCGAACTGTGAGAGTTGGTGCAGCGCCGGCTCAAGACATCGAAGCAGATGATGACGAATGCTTCCCGCTAAAGCTTTGCTGGCAGGGCTGGACAACCCTATGGGGCGCAGAGAGGCAACATCAATCGAGGATTTGCCTGGCTTAGGGGTCCAAACAATGTGACAGTTCTTCCAGTCCTCCTCGAGAACAGTGCTGGCTTGGTGAAGGTGTGCACGAAGCGCCTGGCCCAAGATACAACTGATCTCGGAGGAGCACTGTCGCCAGATCGCTGCAGGTGCAATATGCCGCTGCACGGCCTTGGCCAGGCCAAGCTTGCGAAGTTCGGCTTCCAGATCCTGATCACTGATGAGTGATGACAAGGGCCTGTGCTAGGGGGGCTATGGGATGGTCGTCAAGTTTGGCTGCGAAGGTCTTATTGCCGTACACAACGATATGCTGCAGCTCCTCGTGGGAGGAGAGTAGACATCCGTCAGCACCTCGGAGGCGACTTGCAAGTTTGCGGGACCTGGGAGAGAGTCGTCGAACGGAGAAAGGAAGAGACCGCGCTGGTCTCCCTTACTGGCTTGCAGCCTGTTCGGCTGGCAGGACTGGCGTGCCACGTGTTGAGGACGCATATAATGGAGAATGTTGGTGCAGGAGGGCTGTCAAATCTGAGTCAGGGTGAGCCCCAGTCACTGGATGGGAAGCGGAGATGACGACAGACACACACGTCCTCGGGGGTGCAGTATGGCATGCTTTCCTCCGTCGACGTGCACAGCGACTGGACGGACTGATGTAGGACAGCTAGTCGATGCTACAGCTCAGGTCAGGTGTGCTCTGGGAAAGTTAGGCTATGGCACCGCTAGTCTAGTAGTGACTGTTGTTGCTGCTAGTCTACCGTGCTGTCCTGTTGTCCCATATTGCTGTAGAGTGATGCCGAGGCCTGTACTTTCGTACGTTGGTGGCAAGCCGGTCCCTAGCTCCTCTTCAAGCTCGAGGAGCGTATTCAAACAGCACCCTTCTGGTTCTTTAGTTTACGTACTAACTGATAAAGCCACACACCTCCTCTGAGAACGTTTTGATGCCCGGTACTGTCGCCTGAGTTCCTGTACAATATGTGGGTGCAGATACCGGGGTAGACACAGGCCATGGAACCACCAGTGGGGTAAGTAATCAGGTGTTGGGTGGTGAATCCAGTTCAACCGGATTCCTTGGTCCATCGCCTCAGCCTCGAAGGCGTTCCAACCAATCGAACCAGTGCGGACGGAAAAGAGGTGTCAAAAAAAAAACCTATAAGCCCTAAGACACCCGCCCAACGAGAAAACAAGGCACGTACTAAAGAGGGTTCCGCATTTTCGGGATGCTGTGGGCATCATGGAGCCGGGACAGCTGGTTTAAGATTCGAAACAACCCCACACGGAGGTGGTGAAAACCAACTTTGAAAGGTCGTCTCGACGATCTGCTGATCTTCCGAGGGCCTTACACCTGCGAGGAGAATGCCTGAGCCCCAACATTGGAGGTTTGGTTCACGATTCAAGGGTTTCCTGATTGCAGCACAACATCATGCAGCCCTTTAGAAATGAGTGTATGTTGCTGCTTGTGCAGCCTGAGGCCAGGCTTGAGACAGCTGCCTGGACAGCAATCATGAGATGCCCCCAACCCGCTAAACACCGTGACCCAAAACTCTATACGCTCTTCGTGGCTTTGATTGCGGGCCCCTGCGGCTTTCTGGGTCCCGGCTCAGGCAGCGACCGGGTTTTGCAGGGAGTGTCATCAAACATGTCTGACATCTCAAGTTCCGGCCACGCTCAGATCTTCCGAGGTCTGGGACATGGACATGGAGCAATGCAGGGCGCGGTGCCACAGTGGCCAAACGAAGCACTGTTCTTTCTACTTGTTCGAGCCAATCTCCCGCGTGTGTTCCCTCTTCAAAGCTTGCCGCCGGGTCCCTGTCGGGCATCTCATTTTGCGCTTTTTGATTCTTCCACTGGAGCCGTGAACTGCAAAGTCTCAACCGAAGCTTCGTCGAGTCTCAGCTTGAGGACTTCAGCCCTAAAAGCTAAGGCAATTTCATTCAGAACGTCGGCCTAGAGCTGTCCAACGAACTCTGGGGACTCCCTCCCGAGGGAAAATTTTGTCGAATTGCGGATGCGGAGGCTTGCTGGCAGACCCTTCGACGCAGGAGCTACCTGAGCTTCACCCCCTCGACCCTACCACGCTGCGTGTTCCAGGATCAGCTGGAGGCCTGCGCAACTGTGCCCGTTCTTTTCTTTTGATGTCTCGAGCCACTGTCAGCCTCTTCTGAGCTTGGTTCACGCCAGCAACCCTAAACTCCTAAACTTCCCTATGCTTGGCAAGGCCTGCGATGCCCTGCAGATGATTTCCGGCACGGCCAACGGGGAGTGCAGCCGGTGTCAGTTCCTCAACGCCTCAGAGCAGCAGGTGCGCGCAGGCCTTGCCAAGCAGCCGCTGCCCGACGAGTTCCCTACAGGCTCACAGAGACTTAGCGGGCATTCTGAGGCCCCTTGAAACCCACAAGCCTCAAGGATACCCGTGTAACCTTTTCATTGTGTGCGTTCAGGTGTCACATGAAGGTTGTCTCAATTCCCATTTCGGCCAGTGTAAGGATAGAAGTCAGCTGCAACGAGACCTCTCGGATGTTTTCGGACTCGGAGGGGCCAAAGGCGAAGGTGACCTTCACCTGCGTGGGAGGTGTCTGGGTGGGTCAAAGCCAAGAGTGGGAGCAGCTGGAGAACTTGACTTGCCACGAGTGCATCCAGGCAAGGGAACCCCATACGGAACCCCTACTAACAGGCTCTGAAACCACTTCCTTCGCTCTGAAACTCCAGGTTGGGACGCCAGATCTCCAGCGGTTCAGCAACGTCTCGCTGGCAGCCGTCTACTTCATGGAGCACCGCCAGGAGCCACCCTATAAGAACCCCAGTCATCGTGATTCTTCTAATCTCTGTGCCGATATCCTCAAAACCTCACTCTTGCGGTGAAGAGCTCGTGGGTTCAGGGCATAGGACTTAGGGAGTTGTTGGGGTCTGTAGGGTTTTATAGGGCAGCCAGGTACAAGCCACCTTTGGCGATGGGGTCCCAGGGTGCCTTTCTGCATCGCATCCCACGGCTGCTGCACTGGTCTGGCACCACGCGCCCTGGTAGTCCCGTCTGAGTCTACGCCCTCAGGAGGGTTCATCATATCATATTTCGTTATGTTGGGGATTCAAGAGGATGTGCCTTCGGATTATTTTCACAGGGTTGATGCGGACCGCCTGGTCGCCGAGTAAGCAACCTGTAACCTGACTTTTCTGGAGAATCCGCAACATTAACACTTAGATTCTCAGATCCCCTAGAACTAGACAGCAACGTGCACAATGACGCGAAGTTCTTTCTAGACGTGGAGGAGGACCAAGCCGTTCGACTTTGCTGCGGTCTTGCATGGAGGCTTTTTGTGGGTTGTAGTAAAGGAAGCCCGAACGAGCCCAAAATCCCCTACAGTTCAACCCCAAACCCTGAACCCGAATGAGCCAAAATTGCCTTCAGCGTACGCAAAGTCGCAACTTCGTGGCTTTCGAACCCTGATTGCACAGCCCCAACTAACTACTCGCGCAAACCTGGACGCTTTGACATCCTGAGATCCTTCACAGTCTAATGCCTAAGCCCGTCTCAACCAGGACGGAAAGTTGTTCTTGTCTCAAAACGCCTCTACATTTTGGTGGATCGACGCAGAAACGACCCAATTGAAGCCACTTGAAGTGAACAGTTGTCCAGCTCTTTCCGACGGAAGGTTGAACAGGGCTTGATTCGACAATGCAAGGTTCAGGGCTTCGCAGCTGAGGTGTGCAAAGTTTCGGGGGTTTAAGGTTTAGCGGCATCATGTAGGACTTAGCAGGTTCCGGGATATGTGGGGTTTGTGGCTTAGGACGTTGAGGGTTTGGGGCTGTCAGCATTTGGGCTGTATGGTTTAGGTCACAGGGGGTTTAGTTGGAGCTTGCTGTGTTTGTTCATGGTGATCTGGTCTGGCCGTCTGTACTCTTGTACAAAAATGTAACCTAGAAAATCACAAGGTTATTGTAAACTTGGTGGTGTCTCGCGACTGAGGCTCCAAATACCCAATGCGCTTCATTCAATGCTTGGATTGGATTGTTACGTAAGTGTGCGATGACGGTATGTACAATGTCCTACTAGTAACTCATTCTCACACATATTTCTACCATTTCCTACCGATTCCTACCATTGTCTTGTATTCCTAAGATATTTTCAATTATCCTTAGTACCGGAGGCAGTGTTAACAAGAACTGCTGCTTCGCTTTTGTGGTCAACCGCGATCTGCGCGGAATTACAACAGATCCGACATCTGCGTCCCGATTATGCCAACCTTGTCGGTATTTCGTGCGATGCCTTGTAACTTCCAAGACTACTGCACCTCCTCTTTGGCAATATCGAGACCTTTTCGCGGCGTCGGCGCCGTCCTGTGTAAATTCCAATACATTCACTACGTGGCGTTGTAGACTTGACAACCGTCTCGGTGATATTCGGTGATATCGTGTGCCCCCGCGATGTCGGTGGCGAGAGATGGTACAGGGCGTAGGTGCCACGACGATTTTCCGGCCTGCAACGTCTGAATCGGGCAAGACTATGGGGGGAAAATTTGGTCATGGTGTCGGAACCCGCCGGACATTTGGGGGTAATCTTTTTTGACAATTTGTCGTTTGCCGTGGCCGCGCCTGGAGCGCGATCAATTTGCGGCGCGCCTCCTTTCGGAGCGATGCACAGGACTGAGGGGGGAAGGAGATTGATGAGATGCGCTCTGAGAGGCCATGTGAACTCCAACATCCGAGCTACCCGCGGAAGCGGTCGCAGTATCCAGAAAGTTTTTCGGAGGCTCCTGGGCCTCCGAGGTCTCTGAGTCTTTTTGCTCGGCGGACGCGGGACTTCGATTCGTACGTGTGTGTGTGTGTGTGTGTTTGCGTGAATGGATGCATGGATACATGGATGGGCGGATGGACGGATGGATAGATGGATGGATGGATGGACGAGAGGTTTGCATGTATGTGTGTTTGAACGTGTACATGCATGCATGGCTAGATGGATAGATGGATGGGTGGATGGATGGATGGATGGATGGATAGCATGATTGACTGCATGGCTGCATACAGCTCGACTGCGTGATGGGTGGATGGATGGACGGATGAATGGTTGCATTGATGGTTTTTGACCTGTGACAGATGGATACATGGAGTGACATGCATGCATGCATACATACATGCATACATACATACATAAGTACATGCATACACGCATACATGCATACATACATGCGTATATTTATATATGTACACCCATATACAAGTATTCAATTTCCATTATATATATATATGGTCACACACACAC